TTGGTCTCAGGTGTTGTTCTCAGGTGTTGGTCTCAGGTGTTGTTCTCAGGTGTTGGTCTCAGGTGTTGTTCTCAGGTGTTGGTCTCAGGTGTTGTTCTCAGGTGAGACGAGTTTTTAGAAAATCAGAAACAAATCAAACCTGCAACACATCAGAGCAGTTTGAGTTGAACTGAAGCAGAACCTGGTCCAGATTCTGTAAGATTACTATCCCACTGATTCAGACTTTACCTCTTTCCCTCATGGCTCCTCCCCCTCCTCAGGTGTGGTGCAGGTTGGTGACAGCAGCCTATAACTACTTCCACGTGACCAACTTCTTCTGGATGTTTGGTGAAGGATGTTACCTGCACACTGCCGTCGTCCTCACCTATTCCACAGACAAACTCAGGAAGTGGATGTTCGTTTGCATCGGCTGGGGTCAGTATACCTGTCCACATGTCTGTCCTCTTAGCTCACCTGTCTGTCCTCTCAGCTCACCTGTCTGTCCTCTCAGCTCACCTGTCTGTCCTCTCAGCTCACCTGTCTGTCCTCTCGGCTCACCTGTCTGTCCCCTCAGCTCACCTGTCTGTCCTTTCGGCTCACCTGTCTGTCCTCTCGGCTCACCTGTCTGTCCTCTCGGCTCACCTGTCTGTCTGCTTCCAGGTATCCCATTCCCGATAATCGTGGCGTGGGCTTTTGGGAAGCTTTACTACGACAACGAAAAGTGAGTCACAAGAAGTGTTTTAATCACAGAACATAGTTTAAGATGTCTCTCAGGTGTATAAAATGTCTCTCATGTATATAAAATGTCTCATGTGTTTAAGATGTCTCTCGGGTGTTTAAGATGTCTCTCATGTGTTTAAGATGTCTCTCGGGTGTTTAAGATGTCTCTCATGTATATAAAATGTCTCTCATGTGTTTAAGATGTCTCTCGGGTGTTTAAGATGTCTCTCATGTGTTTAAGATGTCTCTCATGTGTTTAAGATGTCTCTCATGTGTTTAAAATGTCTCTCATGTGTTTAAGATGTCTCTCATGTGTTTAAGATGTCTCTCATGTGTTTAAAATGTCTCTTAGGTGTTTAAAATGTCTCTTAGGTGTTTAAGATGTCTCTCAGGTGTTTAAAATGTCTCTTAGGTGTTTAAGATATCTCTCAGGTGTTTAAGATATCTCTCAGGTGTTTAAGATGTCTCATAGGTGTTTAAGATGTCTCTCGGGTGTTTAAAAAGTCTCTTGGGTGTTAAAGATGTCTCTTAGGTGTTTAAGATGTCTCTCAGGTGTTTAAAATGTCTCTTAGGTGTTTAAGATGTCTCTTAGTGTTTAAGATGTCTCTTAGGTGTTTAAGATGTCTCTCAGGTGTTTAAAATGTCTCTTGGGTGTTTAAGATGTCTCTTAGTGTTTAAGATGTCTCTTAGGTGTTTAAGATGTCTCTCAGGTGTTTATAATGTCTCTTGGGTGTTTAAGATGTCTCTTAGTGTTTAAGATGTCTCTTAGGTGTTTAAGATGTCTCTCAGGTGTTTAAAATGTCTCTTGGGTGTTTAAGATGTCTTTTAGGTGTTTAAGATGTCTCTTAGGTGTTTAAGATGTCTCTCAGGTGTTTAAAATGTCTCTTGGGTGTTTAAGATGTCTCTCATGTGTTTAAAATGTCTCTTAGGTGTTCAAGATGTCTCTCAGGTGTTTAAAATGTCTCTTGGGTGTTTAAGATGTCTCTTAGGTGTTTAAGATATCTCTCAGGTGTTTAAGATGTCTCCTAAGTGTTTAAGATGTCTCTCGGGTGTTTAAAATGTCTCTTGGGTGTTAAAGATGTCTCTTGGGTGTTAAAGATGTCTCTTAGGTGTTTAAGATGTCTCTCA